AAAAGCTGAAAACCACAATACTAAGAGGTTCCATGTTAGAAACTAATTTGCAAGAAGGTTATTTGGATTGAAAGTTAAGCTCTTGAAAATTAGGAAGCATCATATTTAAAACAGCATATGACTTAAGCTCCATTTGCATTAATCCTCTTTCTAACTGTTAAGATCATGTACCATTTTTCCTGCAAATCATTGGCTCATTCAGTGAACAGGGTGGCTCACAATATCGAACTACATCTGCGCAACCATAAATCAGCCATTTTCCGACTTACAGGTCTGACTTTGCAACCAAAATATTTGAACATATATTTTTAAATGTAGTTTCATTTGTGTGTAATGCTGTAGGTGCACATGGTGCTTTACATGATGCAAGGAAAGATACAGTAACTGCCACAAAAAATCTTACAGTTGAAATATCAAAGCAACACTGAACCCTAGACAAGATAAAATGAAAGTGAGACAGAGGGAGAACCTCTTTATACTGAAAATATTAGTATTTTGAATAAAGCAAGAAATAAACCAACATTGCATTTTATAATGCTTAGTTAATGACAAAAGTACCATTAGAAAACCTCCATTGCTACTTGAGTTTACAAGAAGGTCTGTCTTTCATTATACTCATGCAAAACCAGAAATTTGAACAGGGTTACATGGACATAACAAAGCTCATTGTGACCTTACAACTAAATTAAGAATTAAACCCTAATACATCACTCTTGTCAAGCCAAATCCTAAGCCCAGCAAATAGGTGGACTGAAATATGACAGAAAGACTGAAGTACACCTTCCGCCGCCTTTCACCCAGCCTCTGCCCCCACTGCACCATCTGAGAATTTGGTGGAAGAAAGCTTTCAATTCACCTTGGGCAGGAGCCTCTAGAGCTAAAGAATGTATAATCGCCAAGTTCTACCCCACAGTGATAAAAAACCAACATTTGTTATTTTTCTCTTGAAGATGGAATTTCACCAAATATGCTCATGTCCACCTACACTACAAAAATACTCCTAGAAGTATTGACAGAGTTTGGAATTTTTTTCAAGTTAAAAAACTGCAAGCTCCCCATTTTCCAACACTGCAGATTCCAGACTTGCCCCTCATATTATTAAACCTAACAAGCGTGTGGCAAATGAGTTTCAACAGCACACAGCATCAGGCTAGAACCAGTGAGGAGAGGAAAAGGAGGAATCAAATCACGGTCTTCCTCTCACATACCAACTAGCAATGAAGATTTTGCAAATAGCACTTAGCTGACACTTTTGATGATAACACATGAGGCAGAGAGGACTCCAGCTCACTCTCCTATGTCAATATTGGTTCTGCAGTGTTCGTAAGGATAAAGTGTTTTGCCTGTTAAGTAATCCCATTGTCCAGGAAGCAAATGAGTTGAGCACCACTATGCCAACGTAACACCCCATTTGTTGCTCTTACAGAGTATGCAGACAGTTTTATACTACATAACACTATTCAGTTAATTGTTGTTCTATTGCCAGGTAATGCAACTAATTTAAATGAATATCAACAATACATTATAGGTAAATTTTAGTCATACCAGGATCTCATAGGGCAATGCAGTTTCTCCTCCTAATTTGGATGTAATCACATGTAACGACACTGAAACCATGCTCTTGAGGTTTTGCTAGTTCTGTCCCTCTGTGCTAAAAGTAATCTGTGATGCAATATTACTGCAGAGTCAGAAACTGCAGTGTATAGACCATCAGAGACGAAATAGCAAGCTGCCAGGTAGCCAGGTTTCAGGGAGTCACCACTGAACCCAAGTTGGAGTAATAGCACAACAGTACCTGGGGCTAGAAAAGGGGAAGTATAATTAGCTGTATGCATCTTTTACAGGGCACCTTCAGAATTGTAATCATGCATACACTTAACTAACCTCTGGGAACAGACACAGTGATAGGGAGAACAGCTACACTGTGCATTACGTTCTGCATTTATGCTGTCAGTCACAATCTGAAAATACTTCAGCTGAGTAGCAGGCTTGCACTAGTACTTGCACTGGAAGCATACATAGCTCACATCTTAATTTTCTTACTGACCTTTTCATAAACTGGTTGCAGTTAAGATCTTCATCTCACCTACTACTCCAGTTCTGAAGCTAGAATAGCTGATGCGTACTCCTGCTGCATGTTCTCTTTGCCCACCGCTGTTTTTAGCATAGATACTACCTGCTAACCACATCTAACTTTTTGTACAACTTAAACCTCTTTCACCCTTCAGGCAAAAACCCCACCTTGCACTAAACAGAGGAAAGTCAATTTTGCAATCCAATGCGTAACATCAAGACAGAACTGCAAGACTTCACTTTGTTCAGACACATAAAGGAATGAGTATGCGTACACATTGCTTCAGGAATGGGGGCTCTTTACTCATACAGTCACTTTGCTGACTGTAAGCATGCTCTTCACAGTGTTTAGGAACCATAACACGTTTGAAGCAGTACATACTTGCTTCTTATTCCGCACCCTCTGTAAATGAGAAGTATTCCTTCCCTTCTCCGCACAGAGTATACTGCCTCACAATACAGATATTGTTCACAAGATCAAGTAACAGCTTTTCCCATACAAGATAATTGCTGCATAATGTTAGTCACAATATCTTGTTGCAAAGCACTTATATGCTACTATTGTACGGTCTACTTTATAATACTCCCCTAATACGACCATGCTATTAACAACGCTTTTAAAAGGGTCCTGCAGGAACTTGCAGCATCTTCACAGGAACTATCAGAAAACCGTTAAGTATCAATATCATCTCACTTGATCCATGTTCAGGTAATAATGTTTTACAGCACACTAAAGACATACAGGTTGCTTACCCTTCTTTGTTTGTGCAAATTCCAGTAATAAGTCTTGCAAAAAACTTAGGAATCCTGACAGTCGCATCACAAAACAGCGATTTCTGACTGTGTGCCTGTAACATGACAGGTGCCCTGTGTTCAGACAAATGAGGCTTCTCTGCTGATCGCATTCACAGCTGTAAACATCCCTACATCATTACTCATTTTACTCCTATTATATATACAATCTTTTGCAGCTGTTACAGTGGTGTCAGGTGCACGCTCTATTTAACATAGAGCTCGTAGGTTGGTTTGCTCTCAAACCCACATGTAAGAACCAAGAAATTCTGCTGGAAACACATCTAGCAGATCCTTTTCCTAACTTCAGCATACTAACAAACTTAGAAACCACACGTGTTCGTGTACTATCTTCCTTAAGTAAAGTTACTGCGACATGCTACCCTGTCATAGCACAAATCCTCACAGCTTACAGATTTCACCCCTACAGAAGTAACAAAAAAGGCCTATTAAGTTTATTACGTTTTTACGGGAGGCAAACCAAAAATTCCCTGGTTAAGAGCAGTCTAAATGGATTTCAACTTCAAAAAAGAAACTACTGTTCCTTTTCTTGTTGTGGCAAGAAATGATGCTAGCCTAGGACAGAAGGTTTACAAAAGGAGCTGCAGCATCTTATAGATTTATAGCACTCAGTGAAGAAATCGTTCAAGCGGCCGTACCGCAGGGGTATTACACGTTAGATGGGTTTTCACACCAAGAGAGAATAAAAGCGACTTTTACGCTGAGGCGTTATTTGGGTTATTTGTATTCGGGAACCGCACGCCAGAAGTTGGCAGCCCGCACCCGTCCTGAGGCGCAGGATCCGTAGGGGTCCGGCTGTAGGGGACGCGGCCGAGAAGCGGGGGCGGAGGGCTGCGGGACGGGGGGCG